ATGATTGACAATGTACTGGGTGCCCTCCGGTTTACTTGTGCAATTGCATACATTGATGATATCCTAGTTCCCTCCCCAACTCCCAAAAAACACGCTATTGACTTGGAAGCAGTGGTCACCTTACATAAAGCAGGGTTGTTCCTCAAAGCTTCCAAGTGTGAGTTTTACAAGGAGGAAGTTACTTTCATCGGAAACCTGGTTCTTAAAGAAGGTGTCACAATCCCTCCCAACAAGTTAGATGTGATCTGAGAATGGCCAACTCCAACTATGCAGAAACAACTTCGGAGTTTTTTGGGAACTATCATCTTTCTAAAAAAAAATTTCTCCAGCACTTTCCCAGTTGGCCGCACCACTCCACCCCCTTTCTGGGAAAACGTACCATTTTGTTGGATGCCCAAATGTCAGCATGCGTTCAAATTGATCAAGGAAGTGTTTGTGTCTCCGCCTATCTTGAAACACGCCAATCCCACCAAACCATATATTGTTGCATGTGATGCCTCAAAAGTAGCAGTGGGAGTGGTGTTGCTTCAGGAGCATGATGGTTTAAAACACCTGGTCACTTACTTTTCCCAGAATTTCATAGCCACAGAGCAGTCTTGGGGTCATATATGACAAGGAATTGGCAGCTGTTGCATGGGCACTAACTCAAAGGTGGTATCTATTGCAGGGTGCCCACCATGAATTAATGGTCCACATGGATCACCAGGCCCTTTTGTATTTCTGCAAATCCCAAAAATTGGTGCATCGGCAGGCCCAAACCTATTGGGACCTGTGCAGTTTTAACTTTAAATATGAATTTATTAAAGGTGCTCTCAATGTACTTCCCAATTTACTAAGCCGCAGTCCCGCCCACTGTCCCTCAGAATCTGAGGAAGTGGATCTCATTACTGTATTTCCTGCTGCTCATATTCTGTCAATTGTTCCTCCCGTTGTTTCCTCCATAGCATTGGCTGCCCGACGCCCCATTATTGGCTCAGGTTTTAGCTGGTCAAATGGCCTGCCCTGAGGGAATGGAGTTGGTCAAGCAGTTGGTTCACTCGAGTCACAAACACTCCCTATACTCCTTAGAAGAGGGACTCATTTACTTCTGTTCTCATGTTTGGGTTCCTCCCTCCTTCCAGTTGGAGGTATTCCATGCACATCATGGTCCACCCACAGTTGGACATTCCAGTAACAAGAAATGCATCAATCTGATCAAATGAACCTTCAATTTGGCGGGATTGACCAAAGAGGTCCCAGCTTGGATCGCCAATTGTGTTACTTGCACTAGGGCCAAGTCAAATCGCTCCAGAAAAAATGGCCTCCTACACCCCTTACAGCAGGCGGAAGGTCCATGGGCCTTAGTGTCCATGGACTTTATCATTGACCTCCCCTGTTCTAATGGGTTCACAGCGGTGATGGTAGTGGTGGATCATTTCACAAAATCTTCCCTTTTATCTCTTGTACTTCCACAATTACGTCGGAAGAAACTGCCCATCTTTTCATATGTCATGTGTTTTTGATGTTTGGTCTTCCCCAGGAGATCATCAGTGACTGGGGTTTACAGTTTACCGCGCAGTTTTGGAGTGAACTCCTATTGATCCTGAAAATATCCCCCTGTCAATCCAGGGCGTATCACCCTCAGTCCAATGGACAGACTGAGCGAGTTAATAAAGTCCTTGAACATTACCTGCGTTGCTATGCTGCAGCAGCGCAGGATACTTGGGCCAATAACTTGCCCCTTGCTCAATTTTCTTATAATAATGGGACCCATGTGTCCACAGGGTTTTCCCCTTACAAAGCAACGTTGGGTTATAAATCCTTCATTTTTGGTCAAACCGTGCTTGCAGCCTGAGGTTCAAGCTGCCGCGGATCACACTGCCCATATCCAATCAACTTAAGCTTTAGTGCGGAAACACTTCACTAAAGCCATTGACGACTACAAGCAATTCACAGATCATAAGCGCCTTCCAGGTCACGACTTTATGGTGGGTTCCTACATCATGCTTGATACCCATCATTTACAAATTCAAACCCCTTCCCACAAGTTCACCAGTAAGCGCTCAGGCCCCCACTTAGTGGAGGAGGTATTGGGTAATGAGTTGTTATGACTGAAGCTTCCTGCACATTGGAAGCAGCACCCTGTTTTCCATGTTTCCCAGCTGTTGCCCTTCAAGGGTGCAATTCCTATGGAACTAGAACCGATCATCATCGATGATGGGGAAGAAGCTGAGGTAGAGGCCATCCTGGCATCTCAGAAGTCGCGACATTCCATCCAATATCTAGTGGCCTGGAAAGGGTATCCGGCCTACAAAAATAGTTGGGTGAAAGGCGCATGATTGTGCGAATTGCATGGACCTGGTCGAAGCTTTCCATATATCCCACCTCAAGGCTCCCGCCCCCCCAGAAAGTCGTGATGATTATGGCTATCAAGTTACCCAAAGCACACAATAATGTGGCTCTGGTGCAGTTTCCTGGTGGTGGTGCTCTTCCTTTGGAAAAGAAAAAAGGTAATGTAAGTCCCAGGGAACGTCCCATGGCTCTTGATCAGGCCATCTTCCCATTCCCAAATAAAAAGACACCAAAGAGGATGGCGGTACCCCTTGTTACTTGGGGTGATCTCACTCACATAGTAGATGAGCGATGGGTAACAGCTCTCCCACTTCAGATCCCACCCCCAGTACCCACACTCAGCTCAGCAGAACTGTTTCATAAAATTAGCAAAATCTGCTCTGAGATTGTTGAATTTAAATGGTCAGATCTAATTTGAGTGGCAATCTGGCTGATGCCCAAATCTCAAATGGCTGGAAAAACATGAAAACTGAGGTATTGGCTGGAACGCCTGACAGTTCCAATTTGATCAATAAGCTGATAGAACTAACATTGGGTGCCATCAATGAGGGTTCAAAGCCCTCTGTTGGCGATTTGGGCATTGTGGCCGATGTGATGCCATTGACTGAATGGATGGTTCAGCGACTGAGTGTGGGCGGGTTGGGCGTCCTGAACCTGTTCCCAACCAAATGAAGCCACCCCTATGTGGGGTGGCCTTGGGGGATTCCTGTCGCTCATTGGGCCAAATGCCATTGTGCCAACCATCAAAAATGTAGCTGAGCCCCAGTTCAGATGTTTGAGGTCAAACTGACAGTGACTCAGCCCACCACCAAATTTTGCGATGTCAGTTCTCAGGGAACAAACCTGACCATTCCCGAACAATCTTCCAGTTAGGTCAAAATTGTGGGACCTCATCCCAGCTTGTCACTACCCCAATTGACCACTATTTAATCAGTTGCATAGCACTGAGAAAATTGTTGGTCAATTTTCTTTCTTTCCTTCAATAAAAATTTTACCATAAAACTCAACAATTATTAATTTTTTCTTCTGACCGCATCCCTGATGGCATTTCCCTGGTGGCCTGTCAGTCCATATACCAGATGGACTATACCATTAATCTTGGTCACAATGGCCCCCTCCGTCATCATTTGGGTCCAGCGAGTCCAATACTTCTGGCTTTACAACCCCATTATCATTAACTTTCATCAGCAATACACGGGACTTTTGTGGCTTATGTCCACCAATTGCAAGAGAGAGTCTGTCTCTTTGCCACCCCGGTTGAAATGGCTCCATATTCCAACGATCTCATTGAGACTATCACAGTGATTCCACCCCCTGCAGCAAGACCCCCTGGGTTGGGAGCGGGTTCAGTGTGGTTCATCATTGGGATCATTCTCACAATGTTGCTGCACCTACACTTCGTCATTTCCCAATGCCCAGCTCCATATCAAGTCATCCAGTTGGCAATGCCTCTGGCATTCTGGCTTGCTTTTGGGTGCTTATGCATCCCAACTGGCAGGCTAGTCTAAACTTCTTCTGCTGTTTCCATGACAGCTAAATACAGAGGTGAATTACCTCATGTAAACCAAAGAAACTATATATTAAATATTGCCAACCTTGTCTTGATTGTATAACAACTGCTTGATGTGTTTTTTCGCCTGAAGGGTCTTTCATCTGGGTCAAAGCATCAGCTGTTACATCCACTATGAAAGAACTATACTTAGCACCTAGTTTGACCACCACTAATGTGGGAACCACGTAGATCAATATTTACAACTTCATCCACCCAACCATCTATCACATTATTTAAATTTTAGGATTCCATCACTAAGGATACTGTAACAGTTAGGCCTGATTTAATTCCTTCACTTATTTCTTATGAATTTTACTAATCTAAATCTTCATTTTATCCTATATAATCAAAACGCTAAGAATCAAATGAAACATCTAATTAACAAATATGATGTCATATTACTCTATCAAGTGAAGGAGCCTTTAAGTATTTACAGAATCAACACACACCCCAAGTGGATGCAGCCATATCTGAAGCTTACCTTCAAGTCAGACAGAATACTGGTTCTCTCTTTAATCATATCCACAGCCTAAAAAACAGTGGGGACAATGTTTTGCACAATTTAAGGAAGCCTTACTTCAATCCAATCCTGTCACGCAAGGCCCTGTTGGCCCTCAAAGTCCCTGGCTATCAAGGTCCTCCTAGACCAAGGGGACCTGCTTGAATCCATGAGCCTCAAGGGGATAGTGGACCTATAAAGCCCCTGGGATTAATTGGGCCTTTGGGCATCTAAGGGGATATTGGGGTCTCTGGACTGCTAGGCCACCTGGGGATGTTGGCCTTCCCAAGCCACCTGTAATGGAAGAACCTCCTAGCCAGCAAAAAAGAACCTGGCCTTTCTGGCCCTCCTGGACCTACTGTGACAGAATCTGAAGATAACAGTTCTTGATACTTAATTTATTTTTTTGAGGCAAGCTGAACAGGGGACAGACATTAACAAAAGAGATAAAGAAAGAAAATATCAACATGAAACCTGATCAAGGTCAACTCCATCAATGATAATTTTCCACCTCCAGATCAAGACTTGGATTTTTCTGGTTACATCATGGTTAAGGTTTTCATGTTATTAGACCTACTAACCGCCAATAGCTTCCTTCATCTGGCACCCCAATTGATGTGCAAAGGGTGGGAATTGAACTCGCAACCTTCAGGTTAGTAGCCATATGCCCTAACGACTAAGCTTCCACCCTTAACGCTTCCAATCCTAATTAGTAAAAAAATTCAGAATCAGGTAACCCAACTTGAATCCCAGGTTGTATCTATCGCTCATGGCTGTGGTGTAGACCTTAAAGGTTGCTTTCCTGACCCCAATTTTACCTTGTAATACTTACCTGATGGGCTTAAGAATGTCAGTTTTTCTCCCAATTGCACAAGTTAAATTATCCCTCATTGATGACTGTCTTATTCAACTTAACGCCATGTCAAAGTCATTAGGTAGAGAAAGTCTCCAATAAGACCACCATGAAAGCCCAGAAGATAAGTTGCAAGGGCTCAAGGAGAAATCTATATACAATGCCACCGTTACCACAGTAATGAGTCAGTATACAGATACATAGAACAAAGTCAACAGTATAAGAGCTCAGTTTGATCAAATGTGACCCTCTGAATATAACAATACCAAGTCCTCATTTTAGCTTATATTGCACCACTGAGTATAACTTTTTATCAACACCTGTTTCTATTAACTTTAAGCCTACGTTTAAGAAAAACTACAACATTTTGTAAAGGAAGTATACAATATTCTTATAAAGCTATGAGAGTGCCATGGAAGAGGCTACCAATTGAAAAATATTAGCATCTAACTGCTTAAGTAAACGCCTAAGAAATTATGGTCATTCACCTGAAGAATAGTCAAAACTGAAACCAAATCAAGACCACATTGATAAAGGAGTTTGGGAGTGATAAGACCAAGTCCTCACAGAAGCAGGGCTTCATGGGTATTCACATCAAGCATAGGGAATCACCAATTAACTTTGACAATTGCTTTACTATGAGGCACAGAACTTGGTTGCCTGTGACCTTATTACTCTAAATGATGCCATTAATGCTGTCATGTCTGCCTTGGCATCTCGTCCTGACTTGCAGTTACATATTGGCACTTTAAATTAACACTTCTCAAGCATCTTAGAAATCAAATAGGCTTTCATCAAAATCCCCGCCAGTCTTCTCCAGAAGGCCTCCAAGTCCAGCTTCTTGTATAAATGATGCCCCAGATTAACTCTCTTCAAAAGAAGGGGCTAATAAGAAGAATATCAGCGCACTAACTGTGGAAAACGCTGGAATACCGCTGAAGAATGTTACAAGATAATCGCCAATGAGGGTTGATAACCCCATTAACATGAAGGGAGAGACTCTTCGTGTTAGAACCACCTTACAACTCAACCATATACTTCTTGTGGTATTATTTCATCTGCCCTTTCTTCTAAAAACACCTTAAAGATGTCTATTAAAAAGACAGTGATTTGGATTATGCTTATTCCCTCTGTATTCCCCCAACTTCTTTCTTTACCCTACAACCATAATTTGGGGACTCATTTACTAAGGTGGAAATTTTAGTATGCAAACTTAAATTTCAAGCTATTGCTGGCACAAGATGCCCAGTAATTGTCATATTTTCCAAACTGGTCAGTCAAATTAAAGTTGAGCCTGACCTCCAACTTAATGACGTGTATAAGATGGCAGGCCCCATTGCACTAGATCACTTGGCATTTATTTGGCCTTACTCATGTTTTTGAGAAGCTGACTATTAAGGCCCCTGCTGTGGTTCTTGACAATCACAGAGCTATGACTTATTATTAGGTATGAAATATCTGCATGAGCACTCCAGGATTATTACCCTATCTGAATACTATTTAACTATAGCTAGGCTTTGGGTACCACTTATCTTCCAAACAACCATAACCAATAAGGAAAACCCTGATAAAAGAATCTGCCTTATGAAAACAGACCAAACTCCATACAGAATCGAGTATTATGTAGTTGGACCTCAAGTAAAAATGTTTCCTCAATCCGCTGAAGCACGGGAAGATATACTGTTATATGCTCCATCTCAAGTTGTAGTCCCAGATCAGGAGAAAGTTATAGTAATACCTGAATCCAAGTACATATACTCCCTGTCATATACTAGAAGTTCGCAGGTAGACAATCCATTTATAAATGAGATAAAGCTCCACTCAGACATTCTGGTTTTAGCCTTACCAGGGGCCATCTCAGTTTTTAGGTAATTTGACTTTGTACTATCAACCTTAGGGGAAAGGACCCCATAGCTTATATTTGCTGTTACCCATTGATGAATTGCATAGCATGCATAAATTTGGTACTAACCCAGGATTTTTGGAATTGAGGCTTCTCATACTATAGCCATCATTGAACATGATATTGGATTGGATCCCGCTAGAACCTAACAAGAGGCCAATAAGCAACTCTTGATAAAAATCTCATTATTTATCCTTTTAAAAATTTACTGGTTTTATCTATTATTGGCAAACAACCCCAATAAACTTATTAATGCACAGGTTTAGTTTCTTGTGCACTTTGTCTGCGTTGTATATTATATTATATTATTAATTGATAATAGTATGATGACTATTAGCCATAGTTGAGTTAAATTCTTATATCTTGGCCCAACGCTTGGCCAGTATTCCCGCTTTTAATACTTGAAATTTCATGATCTAGGGATTTATTTTCTTGTTCTGTCCAACCCAATCTTCTCTGAGATTCCCTGGTGACAGTCTCTTCAGTCCAACACACAGTTGGCAGAAATCCCTGATTGTTCCTCCTTCTTCTCTAGATCCCCCGCTCAGATCTTTACTCTTTTCACTAAGAGTCTCTCAATTATTGCACACAGCAATAATATCCTTGAGAAGAATAGAGAAATGGAAGGCTAATAATAGTTTACTACTTAAACTATTCACCAAATGAAAACTATTGAACTATATTTTAACTGTTCTGGTAAATACTGTTTTCATAAATGCTGTTTTTTATTATAAGTAAATCCTAGGGAATTTGTAGTGGGGATTCAGTCGTCTAACCCTTAGTTGAAACCTCTTTGATGAAATGGCATCTGTTGCCGTTGAATCACCCATCCTCATCTTGGCAGCAATGGTCTTCCTTATCCTGGTTAGGATTCTGTCATTGGACATCCTCGAGACCTAAATGGAAAGAGTCAGAAAACGTGTCCCTAACGTTTTCCTCTTGATCCAAGTGAACCAAACTTAATTGGCTAGCGACCTGCTTAGGTTATAGACTTATTACCCATTAAGGCAGGTCATGCACCAACTGATTGATTTGCTAGTTGCAGGTGGCATCACTCGCCTCACAATTTGCTACTCATTCCAATCAGTTGGTGATGAAATCTGACCAATCCCAAATGGTACACCTGATAGTTAATCACTATCAGATTCCCCTATCTCGTTGGCAACTCAACCCAATGAGATCTTAAGTATTCATCCAGATTGATCCCCAATGGATAAACCAGGCGAATTTCCTAAAATCCCCCAAACATAGTTACTCCAAAATTCAGGACAACCAATTTTCCAATTCACCTCGCATTAGAGAATTATCCTCTAGCGATTCCTGGTAATCTAGCGGGCTAGGAATATGGGAAAAATCCCAACAATCCTTCTGGGCCTTACAATTTTGGAAACTAATTGGAGTGACGCATTGGATAGATACTGGAGATGCCTCACTGATATAGACCAAAACTTGGCAAAAATATAAAGTGAAAGAAACCCAAGTAATTATTGAATTAAAAACTTTTTAGAGGCTGTTCTATTATAACTTTCACAAAGCCCTTGGGCTTTGCCTCTGCTGATAGTGAAAAATAAAGATATGACCCATTGCATGATGATTGGTTATTGCAAGCTGAATACAAACACCCATAGAGGACAGCTAAGTCTTACTTAGGAATGAGATCCCTTTCAGATGCTGGCCAGCTCGCAGCTCTTCTCTGCTATGGATTTAGCAAGCGGATACTGGAAAAAAGACCTTTCCCAAGAGTATTGAGAGAAGTGCGCCCTCATAGCTAAAAAGGCCTATTCAAACCAACTCAAATGCCACAGGGGCTGTGCAACGCCCCTGCTACATTCCTGTGAGCTATGGATAGCATCCTAAGGAACCTGAAGATATCCTGTGTACTGTGTATTTAGGCAATAATAATCTTTTTCCCAACCTTTGGCTTCTATCTCAATCATTTATGTTAAGTATTCAATAAACTATGGTCAGCATTCTCTAAATTAAAAACTTTTAAATTGCACATCCTTTACAGTGCAAATTGGGCTTTTTGGGCATAAGTTAACTAACAAAGGTATCCTGCCACTGCCAGATAAAGTTATGACCATACACAAGACGTTCCTCCTAAATTTTTGAGGGACACCAAGGTATTTTTGGGGATGATCAGTTATTTACCAATTATCCCTCATTTTGCAAACTCACAGAGCCCTTAGTCTTTCTTTTTTAGAAAAACGTGCCTTTCCACTGGGAGTCATCGCAAGAGAAAGTCTTTGATACCTTACAATTGGCATTAATTAAATCTACTGTGTTAACACATCCCAGTTTTATAAGCCTTTCCTGCTTTCTACCGATGTAAGTAATGTTGTCATTGGTGCCATTCTGGTGCAACTTGGTAACAATTAAGTAGACCACTTAATCACATATTTTAGCAAGACTCCCAAAGCTGAACAGAACTATAGCATCACTGAGCGCAAGTGTTTATAGAAAATATTAACCATTAGGTATTTTTACCTTCCTTTATAGGACACACTTTACTGCAATATCTGCTCAAGCCTCACTTTATTGTTACAACAGATGCGTGATCCTGATGGCTAATTAGCCCAGTGGCTTTATGATTACAAACTATGATTTTTTGATTGTTAATTCACCAAGCGCCATCCACCAAAACGCTGATGGTCTCTCCTATTTTATCAGTCGTTACAGTTCTATTTGATGAAGAGGTCCTCCTATATGGCCTCATTTTTTGTTCCAATTTGTAGCCATTAGAAATTCTTGAAATCCAGAGAAAACTTAGTTTGTGAGAGGTCAACACTCAAATGATGGATGGCATGCTCTATGACTTAGTAAAGAAAAGAGGTTCTCTTATGTCCGCCCCTTTGATCAAACTGAGGTCATTATGGAAGGGCATATTGGTACTGGACATGGTGCAGTACAGAAAAAACCAATGGTTGAAATCTCAATATTT